GGGTTGTGTGTGGGGCTGGATTGGCCTGTGTGTGTGGGGGGGGCGTGATGGGGGGGCTGGATCGGGTTGTGTGTGGGGCTGGATTGGCCTGTGTGTGTGGGGGGGGCGTGATGGGGGGGCTGGATTGGGTTGTGTGTGGGGCTGATCAAGGGGGCTATATCAAGCTGTGGGGGGCGATGACCCAGGCTGGCTTGTGGGCCTGAGGTGACTGATGCTCTTGGAGAGGGTCCCACCATGTGGGACTGGGTGCGTTGGGGGGCAGGTTGGGTCTGGGAGGGGCACAGTTGGCAGCTGCAGTGGGGGGCTCTTATCTCATGGCTGGTGCTCACTGAGAGGGGGCTGGATCCGGGGCCCCCTCGCCCTGCCCCAAGATCCCCTGGGCAGGGGGGCAGGCGGATCCAGGGCCCCCTCCTTGGCTGGTGTCTTCTGGGGGGACCCAGCGGCCTGGCAGATCAGTCTGGGAGTTGGGGGGCTCCTGTCCTGTCCTGTCCCCCCCCTCCCCCAGACCTGCCCTGGCTGACCCCTGGCGCTTGCCTCAGACAGACTGGGTGCCATGGCACTGCCCTGCCACAGCCCTGGGGCGGCCCCTCTCTGGCAGAGAGCGTGGGGGGGGGTGGGACCTGGTGCCAGCTGCTGGGAGCTCTTCCCCCCCGCCGCACGTGACACCACTTCCCCCCCAAAGCTGGGGAGAGAACCCAGGAGTCCTGGCTCCCTGCCCCCCCCGTGCTGCAGGGAGTGGGGCGCTCTCCCCTGGCAGTGCCCCATGTGTTGCTGGGGAGGGGAAGGGGCTCCGTGGCTGGAGGGGGGTAGGATGGTGCGGGGTGGGGGAGGGTTCAAGGCTGGGTCTGAGTCAGGGGATCTGAGTGTTGGGTGCTTGGGGTGGGGGGTGGGGCGTCGGGCTGGGTCCGTGGGCTGAAGGAAGGGGGTGTGAGAGGGGTGGGGGAAGTTCTTTGTGGGGGGGTGTCGTCTCAGGAGATGGGGATCTCAGGATGGGGGGAGGGCCAGGGGTGTCTAGGGGATGGATTTGTTTGGGGGTGGGGATGAATGGTATCTTGTGGGAGGGTGGGACTTTGGGGCCTGAGGGGTCAGATGGACAGGGGCTGGGTGTCTTGGAGGGTTCAGAGGTCTTGGGGTGGTGGGAATGGGGGGGTTGGAGGCATGGGGCTCCCAGGAGCTGGTCCAGGGCACGGCGCTGGGGTGTCTGGGGGGCAGCTCTCTCCCTGCATGGCCCCTCCCTGTTCTGAGAGGGTGGGTCTGCCCCCCCCCTCGGTGGCTGCCCCGGGCTCCGCCCCCCATGGTAGGTCAGTTGGTCCCAGGAGGTATTAATAGCTCAGTGAGTCGCTCCCCAGGCAGCCCCCCAGACTCCCCCCTCCCCCCCCCCGGTGGTTGTAGCTGCGGCTTCGAGACCTGGGCCTCCTCCCTCTGGCCGGCTGGTAGGATCCATGCACCCCGCATCTCTGGCCTTTTACCGGGGGGAGGGAGCCAGGGCTGGGCTAGGTGGGGATGCGGGGCAGGAGTGGGGGGCATGGGGGGGGAGGGAGCCAGGGCTGGGCTAGGTGGGGGTGTGGGGTGGGAGTGGGGGGCACGGGGGGGAGGGAGCCTGGGCTGGGCTAGCAGGGGGTGCGGGGCGGGAGTGGGGGGCATGTGGGGGAAGCCAGCTCAGTCAAACTCCCCTCCCCCTGGCCTTGCCACCCCCTCGAGTCCTTTCTGGGTGCTGGAGGTGACCTGTCACTGGTATCCCCCCGCCCTGCGAGCAGCAGGGGACCGAGGGGAAGGCTGGTGTCTGACTCCTGGGAGTCCCAGAGCTGGGGCTTGGTGGCCAAGGCGGATCGGGGCTGAGAATAAGGCTGCCTTGGTGAGCCTCTTGGCTGAGCCGGACTCTGGCATTTCCCCCGCCCGGATTCGGAGCTGAGCCCATGCCTGGCTCTGCCCACAGGGGTCCTGTGTGGATCCGGAGTCATTGAGGGCAGGGGTATGTAGACCTAGCTCCTCACCATGCCAGATGGGAGCCGGTGCCCCTGGAGGGGACAGGGGCTGCTGCTTACTCAGGTCCACCTCAAAGTCCCGCCCCCAAAAGCGCAGTTATGGGTAGATGGTGCAAAGCCACTGGACCCCACTCCCCTCCCAGAGCCAGGGAGAGAACCCAGGAGTCCTGGCTCCCAGCCCCCTCCCCCGCTCTAACCACTAGACCCTACTCCCTGCCAGGACAGGGGAGCTGCCAGGTGCTTCATTAGCCCGTGTGGTAGGTGCCCTGTGTGCTGGGGGGCAGGGCTGCATGGGGCTGGATCTGTGCCCTGACCCCTGGCAGGCAGCTCAAGCCAAGAGGATTCTGCGGATGCTTCCATTGGGTGAAGGCGGCCTGAGTTGCCCCCCAGTGGGGCCAGCACTGACAGCTGGGGGAGAGCACCCCCTGCCCTGCTCTCTGCAGCACCCCCCAGCGCCCAGTCCTGCCTGCCATGGGAGAGTGCCCCCTGCTACATGCCCTGCCGCTCACAGCATGGCATCCCCCCAGCCCCTGGCACTGGCCTCCCGGGGAGAGTCCCCCTGCCCAGTCCCCCACCCCGCAACCCTGTGCTTCTCTGTGCTTCCACCCGCCGTTGCGTATCCTTCCTCCATGTACTCACAGCGGAGCGGCAGTTGGAGGCTGTGGGGATTGCTCCAGCCCCAGCCAATTGGAGGGATGTGAACTGCCCCCCATGTCACAGCCGGGCGTTACTCCTGGAGCCTACTGATGGCAGTGGGTACACTTTGCTAATTCACCATCACCGTGGGGGCATCCAACTGCTGGGCCACCATTCCCACACTGTGGGCTCCCCCCAACCCTCTCCTGCTTCCCCAGGCTCGTCCCACAACCCCAAGGCCCTCCCACTCACATAGGCTCCTCCCACTCAAACAGTCTCCACCCACCATCCCCTCCCTTTGACAGTCTCTGCCAACATGCCCCTCCCACTGTAACAGGCTCCTCCCACAAATCCAAGGCCTTGCCACTGTACAGACTCCTTCCAGAAACCCCAAGCCATGCCCTCTCCAACGGGCTCCTCCCACAAGCCTCCCCATGTCCAAGCTCCTCCCCTAAGATTCCTTCTCACACAGGCTCCTTCCAGAATCCCAAGCCCCACCCACTAACCCTGGCTCCTTCCACGTGCCCCAAGGTCCTCCCAGAGTCGGCTGTTCAAACATCGCCATGGTAACATCAAATTGCCTGTGAGTCATCACTAGTCTTCAGTGTTAACGGCGCAGCATTTCAGTCCTTCCACCCATCAGCTACTGTGCCCCCTTCCTGTCGAGGGCCCCACCCTGAGTCCCCCTGCAGCCGACCCTTTGGGGGAGACATGGGCCCACCCCCATCCCCATGTGTTCCCTATAGTCCATGGGTCTGATGCGGGGGGGGGGGGGCACCATGTTGGCTGGCCTGTGGGGCTGATCGGGGGGCACTGGCTGGCTGACTTGTGGGGTCTAATCTGGGGGGGCACCAGGTCAGCTGACCCCTGGGTTTGATGTGGGGGGCACCGTCTGGCTAGCCATGCTGTGGGGTAACTAACCCATCCGGGTTGTCCATTCCCAGGGGCATAAGGTGAGACGCATGCTGGGGTGGGAGCATCGACACCATGCATAGCCCCGGCCCTGACCTACTTCTGCTTGGCATGGCCCTTAGCCGGGGAGTGGGGTAGGGAGCTCATGATTAGTAAATTTTCTTAGACCCTTTCCCCAGCTGCCCTGCCCCAGAGGTGGCTGCATCTCAGCACCAGGGCAGCCCTCCTTGTGCAGTGTTATGTGCAGCTGTTCCCCAGCTGCCCTGCTCCAGAGGTGGCTGCATCTCAGTGCTGGGAGAGCCGTCCCTGTGCGGCGTTATGTGTGGCTGTTCCCCATCTGCCCTGCCCCAGAGGTGGCTGCATCTCAGTGCTGGGAGAGCCGTCCCTGTGCGGCGTTATGTGTGGCTGTTCCCCATCTACCCTGCCCCAGAGGTGGCTGCATCTCAATGCTGGGAGAGCCGTCCCTGTGCGGCGTTATGTGCGGCTGTTCCCCATCTGCCCCGCCCCAGAGGTGGCTGCATCCCAGCGCCAGGGGATCCCTCCCCGTGTACCTGATCTGGTGGTGTCCTCTCCCCTCCGTGCAGCGGCCCCAGTCCTGGCCCCACCATGGATCGGATGAAGAAGATCAAGAGGCAGCTCTCAATGACCCTGCGGGGGAGCCGGACAGCCGAGAAGAACCTCAATGAGCAGATCAACATCGAGGAGAACAACAGCAGCGACACCGGTGAGCCACACCCCCAGCCGGGCCTGGTGCCTGGGGCAGCTCCGCCTACTCCGGCGCCTTCCCATGGGACCTTTCTGTGCTGGGCGTGGACGGGATCCGGACTGAGACCTTCCCTTTAAGCTGGCTCTTGCTGTGACTGCCCCTTTAAGACATTTGAGGGGCCTGGCCGCTCCTTTAAGGCGTTCTCTGGGTGTGACTGCCCCTTTAAGGTGTTCCACTTACAAGACGGTGCCTTAAAGGGATCTGTGCACAAGGCCACCCCTTTAAGGTGTTACCTGGGCATGGCTGTCTTTTTAAGATTCCCTGTGGGTGTTATGGCCCCTTTAAGATGTCCATTGGATGGACCCCTAAAGGGTCTGGGGATGTGGCTGCCCCTTTAAGACTTCCCTGGCTGTGCCTGTGTGGTGGTCTCTGGGCATGGCTGTCCCTTTAAAGGCTGCCTCCCCTTCCCTCCTCACCCCACCCTCTCCATTGCTGGTGGCCCATTCGGGAACCAGCCTAGGCACCAAGCTGAGCAACGATTGGCTGGGCTCCCTAGAGGTGGCCAATGGCCAGGTGGAACATACCATCTCACTTCGGCTGCAGGGGTGTGACAGCCAGGTTCCACCTCCATTGGACTGAACCAAAGCCCCAGATGAGGGTGTTTGAGGCCGGTTGGGCAGGACTGGGAGCCAGGACTCCTGGGTTCTCTCCCCAGCTCGGGGAGGAGAGTCTAGTGGTTAGAGCGTGGGGGGGGCTGGGAGCCTGAACTCCTGGGTTCTCTCCACGCCACCACGAGGGGAATAGGGGGTGGGGGTGGGAGCCAGGATGCTGGGGGCATTACTGATGCTGTCAAGGGTTTATTGGGGGTTGGGAT